ATTTAAAAAGGAGGGCCGCAGGATGTGTTCCATCTACAGGGGGATCACACTCCTGAGCCTCCCTGGTAAGGTCTATTCAGGGGTTCTGGAGAGGAGGGTCCGTCGGATTGTTGAATCTCGGATTCAGGAGGAGTAATGTGGTTTTCACCTGTCACGAACTCCTCCAGCTGACTGCATTCCATTCATTCCTGCCACTAACGTGGCGACTGACGTCATCACGCCGACACTACTTAAGGAAGTGCCGGCGTTTCATTCATTGCTCAGTCATCGTTCTCACCAGACTTTGCATCGAGTCTCCAGGCTTACCAGCCCTCTAAACCCTCAAGCTACACCGACAGGAAATAACCACGCCGGTTATCTCCGTCTCTCCGCGTCTGGGCAACAGAACTCTCAGTCACGCTTCAGATCTGCCAACGAACCTGACAGGATGACTGAGCCCAAAGTTGACCCAGCGGAGTTCGCGCGTCTGCGTGCCGAAGTGGCTCAACAGCGCGCAACCTTGGATCAGCAGACGGCAGAAATGAACCAGCTCCGTGCCATAGCTGATCGCCAAGCAACTAAGATCGAGTCACTCTCCGAGCTAGTACTCCAGCTGACCACCGCTCTGCAACGTCAGACCGCAGCTGTTCCTGACAGGATGGAACCACGCCTCAGCCTTCCAGAGAAGTGGGATGGAACCAGGGGATCCCCGGAGGGCATGTTGGCGACCCTGGCCATGACTTTCGAGTGCCAACCGGCACGTTACCCCACATCCTGCTCTCGTGTCGCCCTGCTGACCTCACTGCTGACAGGTCGAGCCGGTGAATGGGCGACGGCTCTTTACAATCAGAAATCTCCTGCCTGCAATGACTATGAGACTTTTGTAAAGGAGATGAAAAAGACTTTTGTGCACCCCAGCAGCGAGGTCTCGGACGAGACGCGGCTGCTTCAGCTTCGCCAGGGCTCCCAGATGGCGGCTCAGTACACCTCTCGCTTCCGGACGACAGCAGCTCGGTTGAGGTGGGATGACGCCGCCCTAAAGGCCGTTTACCTGGAGGGACTGTCACCGAGAATCCGGGAGGGCATGATCGGGCACGAGGTCCCAACCTCCCTGGACCTGGCAGTGGATCTGGCTCTCCAACTGGACCGCTGCATCCTGAACCGGCCGAGCACCATGTCAGCCCCCGTACACACCAGGACGTCACCCCGCCGGCCGGCTCACCAACCGACGGAGGAGCCGATGCTGCTCGGACATCTTCCCCCTGAGGAACGGGCACGGCGCTACCAGGAGGGAAGATGCGCTTACTGTGGGGATTTGGGTCACCACCGTGGCACGTGCCCAAAACGACAGGGAAAAGGTCCCTCCGGGTCGGAGTAGGAGCTGTCCCACCCGGAGTCTCCACCTTTCCGGCTCCACACCGAACCACTCTCCCGGTCTCCCTCCACCTGGACCAAGGCCCGACCAGACTGGAGGCACTTTTAGACACTGGGGCTGCGGAGTGTTTTGTCGATCACGGACTGGTTACTCGGCTCAAGATACCCCTCACCGCCCTCGACCGACCCATTCCCGTGACCTCTGTGGACGGCCGGCCCATCATGCCGTACCCTCTCACCCACCGAACTCAGGGTCTCCACATGACTATTGACCAACACCGGGAGACCCTCCACTTCCTGGTCATCCAGGCTCCGGCCACGCCACTCATCCTGGGTCATTCCTGGTTCTGCCGCCATGAGCCTCACATCTCCTGGTCCACCAGTAAAGTCCTGGCCTGGGGCACGGGTTGCCATAACCACCGGGACTCCCCTGCACCTCGGACCAGAGCAGCCACTCCCACAGACGTAGACCTGACGCTCATCCCTCCTCAATACCACAACCTCGCTCAGGTCTTCGCTAAAGAACCCACTACCAGGTTACCTCCTCACCGACCCTACGACCTGGAGATCAGGCTCCAGCCCGGCACCCCCCCCCCCCCCCCCTCGGGGTCGCCTGTTCTCCCTCTCTCCGGCGGAAACCCGGGCTATGGACAATTATATAACTGATGCCCTGCAGAAGGGATTCATCCGACCCTCAACATCCCCCGGGGCCGCTGGGTTTTTCTTTGTTAAGAAGAAGGAGGGGGATCTCCGGCCCTGCATAGACTATCGAGGGTTAAATAAAATAACGATCAGGGACCGTCACCCTCTCCCTCTCATGGGCACCGCTCTGGACGCCATCACCCAAGCCGCAGTGTTCACTAAACTGGATCTGCGCAGCGCCTATAACCTCATCCGTATTAAGGAAGGTGAGGAGTGGAAGACCGCTTTTATCACGCCCACTGGCCACTATGAATATTTGGTGATGCCTTTTGGACTCTGCAACAGCCCCGCCGTTTTCCAGCGGTTCATTACAGATGTGCTGAGAGACATGTTGGGCCACTGGGTCTTTGTCTATCTAGATGACATCCTCATCTACTCCCGTACGGCCGAAGAGCACATCCGTCATGTTCGAGCGGTTCTGTCCCGCCTCCTGGACCATGGACTTTACTGCAAACTGGAGAAGTGTGCGTTTCACCAGGAGTCCACCTCCTTCCTGGGTTTTACCATCTCCTCCCGGGGCCTGAAGATGGACCCTCAGAAGGTTCAGGCCGTAGCTCAGTGGCCTCTACCCACGACCCTGAAGCAGCTGCAAAGCTTCCTGGGTTTCTCGAACTTTTACCGGAGGTTTATACGCAACTTCAGCTCCCTCGCAGCACCACTGACCTCACTCACCAAAACCACCAATCAGCCTCGCCCGTTTCGCCTTACTCCAGAGGCTGTCCGTGCTTTCCATGAGCTGGTCGGACGTTTCACTAAGGAACCCATCCTCCTCCACCCGGACCAGACCCGGCCCTTCGTCGTGGAGGTGGGCGCCTCTGATGTGGGAGCGGGGGCCGTTCTCTCACAACGGGGTCCAGACTCTAAGCTCCACCCATGTGCCTACTTCTCCCGGAAGTTTTCCCCCACACAGCAGAACAACGGGGTCGGCGACAGAGAGCTGCTGGCAATAAAATGGGCGCTGGAGGAATGGAGGCAGTGGCTCCTGGGGACCACCGATCCCTTTCTGATCTGGACCGACCACCAGAATCTCATTCATCTACAGACTGCCCGCCAGCTCAACCCACGTCAGGCTCGGTGGGCCCTCTTTTTCGAGCCGTACCACTTCCATATCGCCTACCGGCCCGGCTCCAAGAACCTCAAGGCGGACGCTCTCTCTCGGCGTTTCGCACCAGATGCCGCCCCCCCCGCAGCCTCGGACCATTCTGCCGACTCAACACTTCCTGGCCTCCCTCCAATGGCCGTTGGAGCAGTCCATACAGGCGGCACTTCCTGGCGATCCAGCGCCGCCGGAGACCCCACCGAACTGTCTCTACGTTCCCGCCTCCTGCCGGCAAGAGGCACTCACGTGGGGACATTGTTCGCGGCTCGCGGGACATCAAGGACAAGCCCGTACCCTCCAGTTCCTCCGTCGGGCTCTCTGGTGGCCGTCCATGAGGAAGGACGTCCGCGAGTTTGCAGCTGCATGTGATGTGTATGCTCGCTCCAAGTCCTCCAACCGACCCGGCGCTGGAGAGTTGCAGCCTCTCCCTGTGCCCAAACGGCCGTGGTCACACATCGGGCTGGACTTTGTCATGGGACTGCCGGTGGTCGATCACCAGCGCTGGACTGACCATAGGGCATAGCGGGCAACTGCCCGCTGGGCCGACCCTTTCATCTTTTATGGGCCGGTGTCTGTTTTTTTTTTTTTCCTGGCCTCTAGTTGTTGCGGACAACTTGCCCGCGCCGCCCCACGCGACGCCTCATAAAAGTTGGTGGATTGGCCAATTGGTAATAATACACTCTGGGCTGGACCAATAGCCAGAGGTCTGATGCACCCGCCAGTTGTTTGTGAATCTCAGTAAACAGACAGACGAGCTTTACAAAATGGAGAACAAAAAACGGAAAGGAGGAGCGGAGAAAATTCGACTAAAAAAGAAACTGGCACATGTGTTAAAATCTCACAGTTGTTTGGTAGTGAAGGTTCAAGTAAAATCAATTTAGGAAGTGATGGAGCCTCAGCCCAGCGACAGGTTGGAGAAGAAAAGAGGGAGGAGGAGGAGAAACCCGAGCCGGTGTTGTGCCATAAATTGACTCGCTGCCAAAAAATGATTAGCCACTGCGGGATCGCGCACGGTTAGGTAATTGCATTTCTAGACAAAATTCCCCAGGATTTCGCCCTAAAACTCGGCATATCTAGCAATATGGACATTCAGAAAGCAAAGATAACCTCTTCCGGTACTTAAACAGATGTTTATCGCGGATATTAGTGTGGCAGTGTTTGTGGCACCCTGCGCGGGAGCACGAGGACGTGCTTGTGGAAAGAGGGAGGAAGATGTGGCTGTGTGAGCGTCCTGTCACAATGTCCCGATTGATCATGCGCCCTGGCTACTGGGCTAAGGAGATGTCTCTTTGGCTGACTGGTTAGGGCATATGACTCTCACCCGGGAGTCTGGGGATCGAATCCCGCCCGGGCACTCCTTTCTGCACCTGCCACATTAGTTTTTCCAGTTCTGAAGTTGTTTTAAGTGTTGCTATTTGTCTTAAACGTTCACAATGAGGATATATTAATCCTTTTAGCAATATTTGCGATTGAAAGATGGTTTGTGCCACAAACTTTGTGGTAAGAACTGGCTTTCTTTATGTTACAGCCTTGATACTAAAAAATAAATAAACAATGTAAAATGGCACCCTGTATTGAATGTAAACGTTGTATAAATGGAAATAAACAATTCTCCAGCGATTTAATTTTTTCCCCTTCCTTTCTTTAGTCTACTTGACATGGAGCCACAGTTAACTAGTTTGGGGCACATTTTTACTTGAAAAAAAGTATTTAAAATGATCAAGCATTGACTTTAATGACACTGTGTAGGTTGCTATCTATACATTACGTTGCTCTATTTAAAAGTAACAAGATAAAAGCACTTCAGCACATAAAATTAAGATTGTCACTTGCCAAATAGACTACACCCTCCCGTTTACCTATAAGAAACGCCTCAAAATATCTTTAAATTCTTTATTGATGATTTAATTGTAGACAACTAAAATGGCATTTTACTTGCCAAAAAGTGATTGAATCACTAAGATTTTCATGGAGGCTAAAATTGACCAAATAAGGGTTTTATGTATTATCTGTTGATGTTACTGTACTCATACTGTCTACTGTATCATCAAAAACACCCCAAAAATGGCAAAAAAAAAGAAAAAAAAAAGAAGATAAATTCCCTTGCCAAAAATTGATTACAGTGTCCTGGTCACGTGTAAAGGGTTACATTTACCTAAATATTACTTTATTTATTATCTCTTGATGTTATTAGTGCCATCACAGGATGCTGGGTGTCTTTCACATTCATAAACACTTCAAAAATGGCAACAAATGATCATTTCCCTTGCCAAAAATTGATCACAGAGTCCTGGTCACCCATAAAGGCTTAAATTGGCATAAATATTACTTCATTTATTATGATGCTGGGTGTGTTCCACAATCATATTCGAATAAACATGAAAATATTCCGTCCGAATATCTGTTTCTTGTTATAAATATAACAGCTAGAAGGATTTACAGTTAAAATAGGAGAAACACGTGACTCCCCAGGAAGGGTCGTAACACCACTTGCCTCATGCACATAAGTGAACAAAACAAAGCAGCATGGAGACACTCCGTCTCCAACCACCTCTCAGGCAGCAGCCTGCACTCCCAAGTTCTACACATCACCAGAACATAAACAACCGCAACACAATAAAAGCAGTGTTATACAAAATGGAAGGCCTGTAGTGTTTATTCTCTTACAGTAACAACTTATCAATTTTTTGGAGGAATTTATTTGAGAATTTTTTGGTTTTTATTAATCGCTAGATTAATCATCTAAATAGTCATTAGAATAGTCGACTATTCGATAAAATAATCATCAGAATAATCATTTTAAAAATAATCAGTTACCCCCAACCCTACTTTTTAGAATACCAGGATAGGAAGGATGGTGTAGGTTTACGTTTATTAGATTGATACATAAATACTACCAATAACGTTGGTGTGTGTCAGAAACAGCGTAAGGCTTAATGTCTTTTCCAAAAAAAAACAGGTGATGGGCCGGTCTCCAGTCAAAATGCCCGGGCTGAATTTTTGTCCCAGTCCAGCCCTGGTTGTTTCTCAAAAACGCAGAGTTATTTTTTTTAACTCCAAATGGAACGGGACACACACCTTTAAAACGTTTCTGTTTTATCTCGTCAGTCCACACCATATTGGGGATCTTCAGGAGGTTTGTGGTAAACACGAGACGGGTCTTTGTGTTGTCTTGTGATCTTTTAGCCTACTTGTGTTATCAGAAATGTTTTATTGATATTTCGACAGGTCTGCAGGTCTGGGTGTTGTTGGTGAAACTGAAGTCTCTGCAGTTATTTCATGATTTATTAGCAGTTAATGACTTTTTCCATGTAGGGTCGGATTGGTCTGGATAGCTTTGTTCCTTTAATGAATGAAATCATCGTTTGAAAACTGTATTTTTACTCAGGCTGTAATTATAGCCAAAGTCAAATATAGTGAAATGACAGTAAATTGGATTTGATGATTAGAAAACTTTGTTGCAAAAAAAAGAAAAAAAAGAAAGCAAAACAAAAAAAGAGAAGACTACGCCTGAGGCTGCTAGCACTGTAACAACCAAGAACCACGAGGCACTGCCTTTACCTGCATAACAAGCTCTCCCCGCAGGTGTCCACACATCATCATTACAGTTACTGACCTGCATATTCAGACTGGAAGCCTGCCTCTCGATGGCCCGCTTGGCCTCCGTCTCCTCCTCCAGCTGCTCTATCAAGCTGTTCCTGTCCTCCTCCATCTGCCGCAAACGTCCAGACAGATTCAGCTTTTGACGAGTTTCCTCAGACAGCAGCTCCTGGAGGAGAGGGTCACGGGTTTACTGTCAGGAGGCTTAAGGGTGTTGCTGTATGAATGATGTTGTTAAACCAAGGTGGCACTTTCACCTGAGCATCCTGCAGCTGAGAGGACAGGCTGGAAACATCTTTACCCAACTTGATGTTCTTTCCCTCAACCTCGTTCAGTATACCCGCCACGTTATCCAGCTCCATCTGGGAGAGAAGAACATTTGGCTGTTTCCAAACGCACCATCACACCACACTGCATGAAATGTAAGTCACATTTACAGTTTAATCTTTAAGAATGTTAAGTGTGAAGGACTAATTATTGGTTTTTGCTTTCTAGGGTTCATATTTGACCAGCTTTGTTTGTCATTAATAATTAAACCATCCATCCATTCATCGACACATCCACTCCTCCAGTGAGTTCTGGGTCTGTCTCGGGGTCTCCTCCAGGTGGCCATAAACCCTCCAGGAAAGGCCTGAATCCCTTTGATGGGTTACTTTTGATGAAGAGCAGCAGCCCTTGATAATGACATTCCTCTGCTTATTTCCACCTTACAATGGACACCCTTTGAGCCCTCTGGAGGCGGGCGTTGCAGATGTGAAACAGTTAAAACCTACCTTCCTGGTTACTCCACAGACGTGTTTCATGAGCATTTTTTAACTCAGAAGTTCCCCTGAAGGACTTAGTTGTTCGTCCTTTTATCAAAACTTACTTTGAGCCTGAGAGGGTTAAACTGTGGCTCAGGGGCTAAGAGGTCCCTCTGTAATGGCTAAGTTATCGCTTCGTACCCCTGCTCCATCCGTGTCAATTGTGTCCTTGACGAAGACGCTTCACCCTACTAGCCGGCTGGTGGTGGTCGGAGGGACCGGTGGCACCAGTGTTCGGCAGCCTTGCTTCTGTCAGTGTGCCTCAGGGCTGCCGTGGCCACAGTAGCTTATTTCAACCAGTGTGTAAAAGATTGTACTGCAGTGTAAAGCACTTTGGAGTCCTCTGATGTAGAAAAGCACTTTTACAAAAGCAGGCTATTTACTATTTAGAATGAAGAAATTAAAGGAGATTTTAGACTTCTTTAAGAACTAAAAAAGACAGCTACCTTCAAGGATCACTAGCATCTCTGTTCTGCCTTCATAATGCCGCTCTTTCTCACTCGCAAGTTGTTTTGGATACGAGACTCACGAACATGGACGTAATTTTCACATTAGAAGTGGGGTGGGGGGGGGGGGGGGGGAGTGTCCATGGAGTGGGGAGGGCAGGCTTCCAGGGGAGGGGGGGGGGGTGAATCTTTACAGTATGCTCTAATGGGAAACAGGCTTCAACACAAACGGTTGTTTTCTGCTTGGTCCTAGAGCTCAACTAGTGTCAATTTAATATAGCGTGATATTGTGTTTGGATGGTAAAAAGTGCAGGGGTCAACACTTGACTTTGCCCCCCCAATTACGTCCAGCTCACGAAGCCTCAACAACAGCCCCAGGAATTTATGTACCAACTCACAGTCATTTTTGAGACTCGCTCCCCGAGCTCATTCCTCTGACGTTCGCTCTCACTGAAGCGAGAGTTTATGTCATTCAGCTGAGCCTCCACTTTCTTCTTCTTGTGCTCCACATCCTGTTTGGCGTTGGCGACAGATCGCAGCTCAGCGCTTAGATCTGCTGACTCTTTCTCCAGGGCTTGTTTGGCTTTCTCCAGATTGACTCGCACCTGAGCAGAAACGTGAAGCTGAGTGAGTAAAAATGTTCGGAGTAAAACGCGGGCGAGGGTTTTTGTGATCTGAATAGACCCTTTTGGCCTGCTCCAGCTGCTCCGTGAGCTCCTCTACAGCCTGGCTGTGCTTCTGTCTCAGGTCCTGGATTTGAGCCTCGTGGTTTCTCCCCTCCTCCTCTATGGCCTTCTTCAGCATGAAAACCTCCTGCTCACGCTTCGCTCTGTCAAGCAGGACATCACATCATCACAATTCAACTCACAGCATCACAACTTAAGTAGAACTCCGCTTGAGCTTCAGAGGCAAGTTTTATGCAGATGACATAAGGCGTGTTTCCACTACAAGAACTTCAGGGTAGATTTACAGGAACCTCCCCGACATGCGCGTGTCTCCACCTGACCGGGCCGTCCAAACGGCCATTTTCAGGAACCTTCTGAGGACCTGCTCAGGAGTAGGTACTCAGAACGGCCCGGCGGAGTAGCTGAGCGGAACCTCCGGTTAACTCACGCTGATTGATTGTAACTCAGAAGGAAATGACATCAGCAGACATCCAAAACAACTGGCAGCAGTAAAATTGGAAGAGCAGCTGGTGAAGCAGAATGGAAGCAAAAAAAAAAAAAAAGAAGCCCCGATAGCATTTCCAATCTAACTCCCGACACCGGAGGTGGAATTCCCCCACAGACTTATTTACCAGGGCTTGTCTCACAAAACTCAGAACTGCTCACGTCCTCTGAATGGATTAAATCATGATATACTTCTATAAAATAAATGCTTTTAATATTATTAATGGGGCTGATCAGTGACATCACTCACTGCCAAAGCAGCTGTGATACGCTGACGTCTGTGCAAAGTTCTGCAAGGGCTTAATATGAATGGAGACAACAGCTGAGAGGACCGAGAGATCCTTCCTCCTGGTCAAGTTCCCCATCCCAGGAGCTACTCTGGAGTTCTGGTAGTGCAAACATGCTTATTACCGTGTATAGAACTTTTTATATTTTCTTAATCTAGGTTTATGAGTCTTTTCTTATAGATTAAATCATCTCAGATTATTTTCAGATGTTGCAGCCATCACTGTTCATAGTAGGCATGATCCTTCACAGAGAAAGGTTAAGGCCCTGTCAGACCGTAGCTCCTGCTGGGCAGCAGTGGTGTCCAAACTGTCCTCCAGCTCGGTCCTCAGGGCATTGAGTTCCTCCCCTAGGTCCCGTCGAGCTGCCTCAACCTTCCCCCTGGCTGCCTTCTCCGCCTCCAAATCCTCCTGCAGCTCTGAGAGCAGCACCTCCAACTCTCGAACTCGCTTCACTGCCGCTCCACGCTGAATGCTCTCCTCCTCCAAACTGTGGACATGGAACAGATTCATCAGGCAGCGACTCAAGCTTCACATCAGGGTTCTGGTTCTCAACATGTCCTTATTTTTATTGTTTTAAAGGACCAAGGATTCCTGAAAAATCCCAGAGAACGATCTCCAGAAATACTTTTTCTGCCACAACTATCTTCACAATGACCTCGTGTGTATCCTCTCACCGGGCCTGTGTAGCTTGCAGCTCCTCTTCTTTAGCAGCTAACTGGGCTCGGAGCTCGGCTAGTTGTGCCTGCAGGTCGGCGTACTGCTCCTGCAGCTCATTCAGCTCCGCATCCACCTTCTTCTTTGCTTTCTCAACATCCTGACGAGCCTTCTCCTCCTTCTTAAAACGCACTGAACACAAGATGTTAAGAAAGAAGAAAACCACGTTGGTTTTTAGAGACTTCATAAGAGAATTGTTATGCTAATGGTGTTTATATGTCTAGATTCCCTCTGTAGTTAACCCCTTGTAAGCTATCATCACAGCTTTGTGTCAAACATCTGGCCTTGAAGGTATCTGGTGGAGTATCAGGATTAGTACCTTCGTCATAAACTTGTGAAATCCAGTCACATACACGTTTGCTGCCCTCTGGTGGAGGATTTATAGGTTGAAAGGGCCAATTTAATTTCTTTTTTACTGTTTTATTGTTACATAATAACAGAATAAAAGATAACTGATGGTTAGCTAGTTGTAAAATTGGCATGAGGCAATAAAGGTTGTATCGGTTTGTTTATTAGCTTTTAAAGGGGTAATGTCACAAACAGCAGCAATCAAAAAGCATATGTTCAAGTGCTGACTGACCCTCCAGTTCAGAGATCATGGACTCGTGTTTGGTCTTCAGTTTGGTCAGATTTTTTGACTTCTCCTCCTCCTCAGCCAGGTTGGAGGTCATGTCAGCCAGACGCTCCTCCAGAAGTTTTCGCTCCTAAAACAAAGACATGAGAGCAGAAAGAAGAACCATACATGAAGATGTCAGGTGACTGTTAGGGTAAAAGCCTGATGTTAAAGCAACACTTAAGTGTTGTGGTTTGGGTAGGAACACTAGAGGGAGGACTCTAGTTGCTTTACGGCATCAGCTGTTTACTGTGCTGGTAGCTAATATAAAGGCTAGCAGTTAGCATTTTCACTTCACCAACAGTCAATGAAAGAACAAGAAGAGTAAGAATTTGGTGTCATGGTGGAAGTAAAAGAATGATGTCTTTGGAGGCGAAGCAAATAGCTAAAACCAGAGTGAACATCCACACAGCCTACTGAGGAAGCTGAAGGAGGTAATACGAAAACACGGACTGATGGTGACCTGGCTTTGTTGCTGCTGGACTTGCAAGTAATATTACTTTTTGCCCAACAGAGTGGATCTTTTTTATTTAACTTTTTTTAGTATCGGCCTGTGTTAGTGTTAGCTCATTGTTATTGCTAGCTACAGCAGGCTGCAGCAGGTCTGTTTCTGACTGTTGTGATTTTAATTTCAACCAGTAGGGGGATAAACGAGGTGTTCATTTTACACCTTCTGCAGTTTGTTGTTCTGGTCGTCCATGAGCATGAGGTCCTCTTCCATTTTCTTCACCTTCCCCTCCACAGCAGATTTCTCTAGCTGGAGCTTCTGACGAGCGTCCTCCTCCTCTATGAGGTGAGCCTCTAGCATCTGCGTTAAAATACCAGATTGAATTATAGAACATTTTGTGGCTCAGATAAACACATTCGAATTATTTATTTTATTCTGTGACCTGTAAGACTTAATGCTTTTGAGTTAACTTTTCAGTTGATTGCTACTTTAACTACTATTGGTATTAATCAAATTGTTGTTAGTTGCTAAAATGATAATAACAGCGCCCCCTGTAGGAGAAGTAGAACAGGTTGATGAGTTTTTCCACTAGTTGTAAAAGTTACCTGAACTATAAATGAATTAATGTGCAAACCTGGAGTTGCTGCTCCATGTCTTTTTTCTCCTGCTGCAGGGAGATGCTGCGATCCTCCTCCTCCTCCAGCCGCGCCTCCATCTCATGCAGCACCTCCTCCAGCTCCTGCTTCTTGGCCTCCAGACGGACCCTCATCTCCTCTGCCTCAGCGTACATCTCCGTCTCCGCCTGAAGCTTCAACTCCAGCTGCGTTCGCTCTTCAATCAGCTGCATGCAGAAGCCTCCATATTTAATTTCACGTTCCTGTTTGCTTGAAAATACAAAAATAAAAGCTGCCATTGATTCACCTGAGAGTGTTTCTGGCTGATTTCCTTCAGTTCAGCCTCAGCTTTAGCTGCCACCTCTTTGACCGCTTTTAGCTCCTCCTCTTTTTGACCCATTTCCTCCTCTTGTCGTGTCACCTGGAGCAGGGGCTTCACCTGTATCACATACCCATCATACAGCTCAGCTTTTAAACGCAACGCACTCCAAAAAGAATCATTAAATTCTTGGGGGGAAAAAGTCAGATATGGTTTAGTTTTGATGTGCAACCTTAGTGAACAGCCTCCACCACTGCCAGTTCCTGAGTTTAAGGTAACAAGCACAGTTCCGCTGGATGACCTTCATAGCGGTCAGCTGCTGCTGGCGTTTACTGAAAGCCCTAGGAGAAGAAGAAGAAGAAAAAGAAAGAGATGCAAAACCCTGAAAATCAACATCCAGATGCCGCATCCTGAAATGTTTCACTTACTTGCGGCTCAAGAAACCTCTTGCTTGAGCCTGGAAGGCGATGATAACGACGGTCAGCTTAAGGTCTCGCTCCTCCTCCAGCTGAGCCAAAACTCCAGTCCTGAAGAACATTTTACTCTGACCAATGCGATAGAGGTTTGGGTCCAGATCTAAGTGTTTCACCTGGAGACAGGAGGAGAATCTTGTTTCACGATGCTTCTCGGTCAAACCTGATTATTAGCAGCCGTGACTCGGCTCACCATCAGACCGCAAGCCTGTTTTCCATCCATGAAGCCTTTAGGGATGGCATTGGCAGCCAGTATTTCATACCTGCAAACAGAACAAACGTTTAAGTAAAACGTGCTGACATCACATGAATGGATTTTTGGTATCACTGTGGTCTCCAGTATAAACGAATGTCTCGTGAGCCAATCATGGGTACAAAGATCTGGCGCTCCTGTTTCAGGAAGTAGAAGTTAGCGAAAGCAGTGGTGAGCAGAACACAGCAGGACATTTGAACGTCTCTCCTCTGATTGGCTTACAGCAACACTTCTCTACCACTGACTCAGTTTGTTTTGGAACGTTGATGTTTTATCTCCAAAAATAACAAACCTGAAGGAGTTCTGCCACGTGGTGGAGTTGCTAATGCTAATGGTCAGCTTCTACTAGTCGAGACGTTCTCTGCTCTCTCTATGGATGCTAAATCAATAACAGCCTTCCCCATCACGAGCCGAATTGGGTGAATCCATGAATGCTAATTTTCAGTGTGACGTAGATCTGTGACTTTTTCTGACCTGAACATTTCCCCATCTATTTCTATCGGTGGCTAACGCAGTAAACGGGTAGAAGGCCATTTTCACATTCAGCCTGCATGGGAAACTCAGAGAAAGCAACTAGTTCAAAAAGGGAACAGATTTTAATATAACTAATTTAATTGAAACTTGTGAGATTTTAGGATCAGATTTTTGAGAGATGAACTGTTCTCCCAATAAAACCTGAGTATTTACTGGTTTTATTAGCATCAATAAAGACAGAAATGGATATTTCTAATGACTAAATGTCAGCTATAATCAGTATATTCATCTACGACAGGTCCTTCACCTCTGTCTGAACTCCTGGAACACAATGCGGTTAGGAAATCCCTGCCTGCAGATCCGAATGCCCTCCAACACTCCGTTACACCTCAGCTGCTCCAGCACCAGGTGAGCGTCCATCTTACCTGCCTGCAGAATAGAATCAACAAACCCTGAAAGCAAAACCAGACCGTAACTCCAGTCTGCAGCCACACACTACAGCTGCAACAAGCTCTCACCCGCTTTTCGTGGTTGGGAATGATGCAGCGGACAAAGTTGGGCTGCGTGTTGTGCAGAGTGGTCATCAGTTTACCCAGAGACTCTTTGTACAGCTGACCCACCGTACGAAACATGCCCTTCTTTGATTTAGTGGAGCTGGGAGCAGAGCTCTCAGACATTTTGGTGATTGTATCCAGACCCACCACACGGTCCACTGAAAGGGAGGAATTGCTCGGGTTATCACCACAGACGCAGAGTTATTATCTATTTGCATGCGTCTTTTTGGAGGACTGACCGTCTTTCCACAGGTCTTGAATGAAGGTGCTGGAGGAGTTGTTGAGCAGAGCCGTTACATTGTCATTCAGAGGGTCCATGTTCTTTGTCAGCCAGCTAGCTGCATTATAATCAACCTGAGATAGAAAAGGAAGTTCTTTATGCTGATTTTGATCATGAAGCCTCTAAAGGGGACATGGGAGGAAAAATCATTCTGTCCTGTAAACACCAAAGTGTGTCTGCCATGATGTGCAAGCAGGTTGGAGAACAGTGTCAAGTGTGATGTCTGATTAAAGGGTTTTAGCAAGAAAGGTGTAGAAGACAGTAGTGGTACCAGCCATGTTGTCTGGTTTAAAGACGGCGTCCACGAGGAAAAGAAGGAGGCAGAACTGGAGGTAGCAAAACCCAAGATGCCGAGGTTCTCTTTGGGAGTGACAAGCATGAATAGGATCAGGAATGAGTCCATCAGAGGGACAGCTCATGTTAGAAGTTCTGGAGATAAAGTGGTTTGAACATGTCTACAGGAGAGACATAGATAGAAGGTTGCTGGAGCCACCAGACAGAAGGCTGAGAGGAAGACCAAAAAGAAGATTTAAGGGACATAAGGTTAGTGTGAGCGTAGAGGATGCAGAAGGTGAGACTAAATGGAGATGAATGGTTTGCTGGAGACTCCTGAAGGAACACACCCAAAGAGAAAGAAGAAACACCAGTTAATATCTGGTGCACAAAATTGGACCAGATATTGGTTTGATGATCTAATAATGTAATGATGTAATAGCTTGCTCCTCAGATTAGACTTTCTCCTTAATTTAATAAAAAATAATGTTTATTTGATGTATTTAAACCCACTGACTTTTGCTATTTATTGTTTGAAAATGGTTTGTTTGCCATGTTGTAAATGGTAAATGTTGTCTGTTAAGTCTTGACCACTTACTCAAATGGACGAGCTCTCCGTGCCATCACCTGTACATTTTTCAAAAACGTGGCTGTGAGGGTGGGGGCAGAGGATTGACACCCATCAAATTCTGAGCCAGTGTGGCTATGAGCTAACTGAGTTAACTGAGCTAACTGAAGCTAACAGAGGTTGGCGGGCACTTTTAGCCAGAAAACCACGGTTTAGCATAAGGTTGCACAATATATCGCAAATATATCATTATCGTGACATCAGCATGCGCAATATCCATTTCGCAAAGAACAGATAAACATCGCAATGAATGGTCAGCTCAAATGTTAGTTACACAAAATGCATTCTGTCAATCAAATGGAAGCATTTGGCCAATTGGGTGGGTTCTTATAGGTTTGACGCCCGTCCCCAAAGCAGACGGCACCTAATTGTGATGGTTAGCAAACACCTGAGTTAGCTTAGTTCTGCTCTTTATGCTTTTCCCGGGATCCACCAATTGCCTTTTCTTGTTAATTTTCTTTTACCCTTTCCTCACATCTTTTGCTTTTCTCATTTTTATGATTTTTTTGTCATTTTTTAAATTTCTTTGTTTTTGATTTTTGTTTGTTCCTAAGTTAAGTTTTTATTTACCGCAAGTAATATCATCATCGCAATATTAATCACTGTTATTGCATATCACAGGTTGTCCTAATATCATGCAGCCCTAGTTTAGCAGCTCTGCTACTCTTTGCCTTCAAGGCTGCAACTATTTTAACATGAGGAAGAGGCCGAGGACTTCACTGGAGCAAGCAGGAGGCAAGTAGTTAGCGCTAGCATTGTTGGCTCATCTGCTACCTGTCAATCAAATGGACATGCCCCTAAGAAACAGCCCTTAGTGGATGAGTGGGAACTGCATTTGTTGTCACTTCCATGCAGGCTTCAGTTTTGGCAGGCATAGTTTTCCCCTTGGTGTTGACATGACTTTTTGTTTAGGAGACTTTTCATGTCTGGATAATCCATAGGTCAGAGGTAAGTCCTAAAACCAATAACCTACAAAGACTCAAACTGAAAGAACGGCTGATCAGGATAAGTTTAAAATATTACAGAACACATGCAAAAAGGGTGAATCGAGACTGTCGTAGTGGTCCGCTTCTACTGTAGTTGTAAGCGATAGGTTCTCACCTTGCCGGCATAGTGTAGCACAGTGAACATCAGTTTATCTTTGTGTTGTTTGGGTTTGGAGAACTTGACATGACCAGTGTGTGTGTTCAGAAGCTTGTCCACGAACGACTGGTCGGTTGCTTTGGGAAACCAGCACTCCTCATCGAGCAGAGCCAGAATACCCGGGGGGTTGTTCTGCAAACATGGAACCACCTTTAGGTACGCTTCTCACGTGTTCCCTGCTGAAGTGGTTTCTGGAGTCAGGTAGGGGAGCAGCAGATCTTTCACCATTTCATAAAATACTCTGGGGAACTCACTCTCTCACAAAGATTATTGGAAGGAGACCGAGCAACAAATGGGAACATTTGAAACATGTTTATGAAAAAAACGCGTGGTGTTTGTGTGTCAGGGAGCTGACCGGCCGTTCGATGAGCTCGATGCAGGGCTGCAGGTCCAAGCCGAAGTCGATGAAGTTCCACTCGATGCCCTCCCTCTTGTACTCCTCCTGTTCCAGGATGAACATGGTGTGGTTGAAGAGCTGCTGCAGACGCTCATTGGTGTAGTTGATGCAGAGCTGCTCAAATGAGTTATCCTGCAAATGGAGAAGATCGTTAAATCAAAAACAGAGGGAAAAAACCCAACCCCAAAACAGATTTTTACTTTTGTCAGGGGAAATTTACCTCAAAAATCTCAAAACCAGCGATGTCCAGGATTCCCAGAAAGGATGACGACTGTCTCTTACTCTTGTCCAGCGTCTTGTTGACTCTGGCAAGAATCCACCGAAACAGACGCTCGTACATGGCTTTAGCCAGAGCCTCCACAGCAAAATCAGCCTGAGGAGGATATTTGGTTTTTAAACACAAAAGGAAAAAACTCCCTCTTGACCTATTTGGTGTTTTGTGTTTCAGTACCTGCTGTTTGGTCTGAGCCTTCTGCACCACCTCCCTCCCCACTTTGATCCTCGGGGTGAGGATGGCGCGGGTGAAGTCGGTCACATTGATGCCTTGCAGGTGGCACACCTTCTGGGCAGCTGGTGATTTGTGAGGTGAGACAGAAGAAGAAGACAGCGGAGCTGTGAGACTCATTGCTCTATCTCCACTTAAACTCTTACAGGCATTGTTTATTTTATTTCTGAACTCCTACCGGTGTTGTCGGGCATGGTGGCCTGCTCGCTGTTCCTCTCCTTCTCAAACTTGATGTTTCCCAGCTGGAGAACAGTAGAAACCACCTTCAGCATTCCTGCACAGACAGAAAATGACTTTATACATCTTTTGCTAATTTATTTCACAACTATTCTACCAATAAAAAGGCCAGCTTCATTTTATTGTTCTGTCAACGTTCCTGTTTTTGTTGTGCTCTAAATCACTTTGGTCCTAACTTGTGTTTGAACACTTCTAATGATAATTAGACCAAAACGAGTCAGTCTCAAAGTTATGATCCAGATCCAGGTTTCAGATCAAACTACATTTGCTTTTGGATCCAGGCTGAGGTCTGCTAGTCGGTAACTAGATCTGGACAAAGACAAAACCCACACAAGCGCCCCCTAGTGGCCGGCTGCAGTTTAATTTAAGCTCCTCCATGTGAATAAATGAGCTATTTCACAGACTGAAACACAAACGTTCTTATTTATTTTTTCCAGGCGTTGACTCTGGCTGGTTCACTCAGTTTGTTGCTTCAAGTTCTGATATTAATCTTTCAAAGAAATTTTTGGTTATTATTGCTTAAAGGGGCATTGTGGAAGTTTGACAGCCAAAACATGTATAGAAATAATAAATGTCTTCTTCATACATTCTCCTGCAATGCCCTGGTCCTGTAGAATGAGCCCTGGCATTTTTACTGTGATTGCCTGTTTTTCTGTAAAATCACAGAAAAAGAGAGATGCTCGGGTCGAGCAGGCTGCTTCATGCGTGTTCACGCTCAGGCATAGCCCTCCGAACCGTTCTTTGAACGTTATTCCAGCTGTCGTCAAGGATATAAATGTTACAGATACAAAGAATGTCACTGGCGCTTTAGCTAGCCTAGTAAGACTTTGGGCTTTCTTGCAGAAGACCTGGGTTTGATTCTGGATGTGAACATAGTTGTTTTAGAGTTTCTTTTTTACATTAATGGTATATTTTTTTACAGTAAGATGCCCAAATTTTTATTTGAGACTCACCGAACGGCATTGAATTCACAGATAAAAAGATGTGGGTTCAACTTTCATTTTGGAACAATTTTTCAAGCAAGGGAATGGAATGATCTGAGCATGCAGGAGGACTGACCCATCATAAACCTTTGTCGGCTGTGCTGAAGAGAAAGGTACAGAACCAAATTATTTAATTAATTAGCTGCATGTTCTCCTGTCCTCTGTCCTCCGGGCCATCCCCCCCCCCCCCCCCCCCCCCCCCCCACACACACACACACCCACCCACGACTGTCTCAGCTGTTATTTTCGTTAAGGAGTGTGCACGTACAGGATGCGTGCCTCGTGCACGAGCCTACTATTGAAGCTGCCGTTACGCTTTTGGCCTGAGGGGGCAATCGCAAGCATAAAAATTCAAAAATCCGTAAAGTCCCTTTAAAAATACAAAGAGAAGTAGGCCAGGACTGAGTTCTCTTGCTTCTAAAACATAACAGCACCTGTAAACAGAAAACTTCAGCTTTACTTTTAAACAACAAAAGATGTTGGAGACATTCTTTGGTTATTAAACTTATGTGGATTAAAATTTCAGAGGCGAGCTCCTCATACTAAATTAGACTTTAATCCTTGCAGACTGAAACACATTCAGAAAGCTGGTAAAACTGAATACATTTTTAGGAACATTAACTTCAAGGCTCTCTGTACCTAATCTCTCCTCTTCTGTGAAGCCCATGATCTCCATTGCTTCCAGAGTTTCATCAAAGAGCTCATCGTCCTCCTGACCAGGGATCTCCACGTGACCGGCTATCAGGAAACGGTAGCTGCTGAAGTCCTCGAGCAGCAACTCCTCTGTAAAAACACAAACAGTCCTCGTAAAAGAAGACTAGCATGCATCTCCCTATGTTATCGATGACGACTTTACTTCGATGATCTGAAGGAGAGAGAATATGTACTCCAAAATGAGGTAACATGAAGTATTTTGTTATGATGTAAAGCACTATTAGCGATTAATATTGGCCGATGTCAGCATATAAGAAGAAATCAGTGTCAGTTTTCTGTCTTTCAGCTGTGTGAAGCAGCTGGGTGTCTCTTTTCTCAATTTCCCTTTTTCGTATTAATTTTCTCTCTCCCTTTCCCTACATTTTCTAATCACAATTTTTGATTTGTCATTTTAAACATATTTTTCAACCTTTTTAGGGCTATATTTAAAACTTTTTGTTTTTGTGAAGTGCCTCGTGATTTTTATTTTGAGAGGTGCTATATAAAAGATTGTTTTCTTTCTTTCTTTCTTTCTTTTCTTACATTAAGGGAGAGCCAAAGGGCACAAAAAAGTGTGTTCTAAACACGCATAATGATTGCCAAAATGTGCTTTTTGATGCCAAAGGGGCCAAAAAAAGGCCTGCAAAAACGGCCACTAGTATGGAATGTATGGAAAGCCAATGGTGACACTAAATACTAAAATAAAAGCTGCTTTAGATTGCTAGATAAACAAAGAAAGTTTAAAAAGTTTTTTTAAGCTACACATCTTTCCAGAACTGCGCTGCTCTGGGTGGCTGCATGTTGGAGTAGCACTGTTGACTGTATGTAAGTTTTGCCTTTTCTTGGGCATTTTTTCTTCTAGTTTCTCAAGAAAATTAGTATTTTTTGGACATTTTACTTTTCTGTTTCTGGTGCTGTGAAGCTTGGAGGATTTTTACTGCCTTTTTTTAAAGCATTTTTCACTTTTTGAGCATTTGTTATGATGCGTAACCATGGCAACAAGCTGGTTTACAATCGGGAACAGCTGATTAACATTGGAAAGGCTGAAATAATACCTCAACTGAAGCCACAAATCCCAAATGAGCTAAAATGTTAGAAGCGTGGGTGCAGAGCGGGAGCAAAACGGAGACAGAGAAAGAGGAAATTCAAACCGTCTCTTCCATCGATCATAATGGGCAATGTGAGATCATTGGCCAACAAGATGGAGGAACTCCAAGCCCTTTCAAGGACTCAGCCAGAGTATCGGCAGTTTCGGAACCGCTGGAGGAGATAATGCAAAGAAGGATTCTCCAGAGAATCAAGAAAATGATGGACAACCCTGAGCATTCTCCTCACAAGACTGTCCGACAACGGAAGAGTGTCTTCAGTCAGAGGCTTCTTCAGTTTGGCTGCAACACTGACCGCTACTGGAGATCCTTCCTGCCAACAGCCATTGTAATATACAACAACTCTTTGATGACTTGATTATTATTATTATTCTGAGCTACTACAGCAATCAATTTCCCTCTGGGATTAATAAAGTATTTCTGAATTGAATTTGAATTGAATTCTTTCCACACAAATAAAGACAAAGAACAAAACATTTTTACCAGTATTGGTATAAATCCCTTAAACTTTTTTTTACTTTCTTTGATTAGCTAGTCACCTGCAGCTTTTATTACTTTGCCTTTCTTTATTTTTTTAAATATAAAATATACTAATATTTTTATTAGCTACACATCTTTCCATTGCACATGCTTTTTTGTGCCCTTTGTCTTGCCATATTTGGAGTTTGTGTTTTACAGTGTTTTATAGAGTGTCAGATCTTCTCACCCCTCATCTTGTCTTTGGCTCCAGCCACCATGTAGTAGAAGATGTGGAAGGCTCTCTCTGTGTTGGCCTGACGGATGCAGCGTGACTTCTCCAGCAGGTCTGACCGCTTTGAGTCAAGGCTGCTCAGAAACCAGCGGTTTACTATGAATATTAATATTAAGTAAATTTAATATTTACTTTAATATTACCTAAGGTGACATTTTTATGAAAAAAGATACAGGTGTCAATATTTGCTCCAACAAGGAAGCCGGTCACATCAAAGTTTAGTTTGATGAACTTCCCCTGTAGAGAACAGCACATTACTGAAGAAACTTAATAATCCCATCTACCAGAAACACTTTTGTTGTAAGTTGAATTCAATTTACAAATCGTGAGGAGTTGTCATTCTTGATGGTCTTAGCGTTGCCAAAAGCCTCCAGGATGGGATTAGCCTGCAGCAGCTGCTTTTCCAGCTCCCCCTGAAGCCAAAAACAAGTCCTGATGACTTTTCTAAATGATACACATGAGTATGCCTGCTGCTGTGTACTCCGGTAAAATATTACTGGCAGTAAAATATTAGCTTTGTTTTGAAGAGAATTTAAATGAAAAGTCGTTGGATTTTTTACTCACGAAAGCCAGAGATCCTGCTTGCTGCTGCTAGAAGAGTCAGAAACAAACAACATGTTTGTAAATCATAAGAGGTAAATTATTGCCAAGATGCAACTAAGCAGCAAAAGTTAAAGAGCAAGATAAAAACCCTCACAGCTGAGACAAGAAACTTTAATCTGTATTCAGATGGACGTGACTGAAGACCAAAAGCCCCGACGGCTGCAGCAGAAGCACACACAATTCTATCCTTACCGTGGCCTTAGCTGCAGCCACTGAATCCTGTAGTTTACAATAAACTCATGCTTTAACATTTTCTGACTTGGCTTAAAACATGTACAGTAATATGTACAGTTCAGTTTTTTTTTTTTACCGTGTCCTGTCTGGCTGTGAAGCAAGCAGAATTGATGTCTGAATGCTGGTAACAAGCCTTACAGTTTTATTCTCAGGTCGAGCATCAAAGCGTTTGCTTTTAATGTCACGCCTGATACTTAAAACTTTATTGTTATTGTTGTTGAATGCTTTGTAATTCCGACCAGACACGGAGACAGAGGTGAAAGAGAAAGGAAAAGAAAAGGTGGGGAGAGAGGGGGGGGGTCCACAAAAATAAACAATGAACAAGAGTCTGCTTCTAGACCTGCAAAAAAAGACAAAAAAAAAGCAAAAGGACAAAAAAAAAAAAAGGGGACACAACAACAGTACAACAAGATCTAGCTATCACTGCGTCAACTTGATGAAAAAATATATAATCAACATTGCTTAAGTGAAGAATCACGATAATAAATCACAGTGCATTAAGTGCCCACAATAGTCTTAAGACCTGTGTTTAACGTGCCCAAGCCCATACTTTTGAGTATGGACTTGGGCATACAGTTCAGTTAAAATGTGACTAACAATCTAGTACAATGATAATTGTGTCCTGACTTTAATGACCTTCTGTTAAAAAAAATGGAGTTGGTCAAACTTTTACAGGAATATCCGCCTCAACTCTCCGGCAACGGCTTTCCATGAGGTTTAAGAGTGTTTACGGGCCAGTCACGATTCTCCACACCAAAACACATCAACGCCGACAGACCTACTTCCAGTTTTTTTTTGTGGGTGTGGCGGATTTGGTCCACTTTTTAATTAAGAAAGTGAGATGCCGTAGGAGAGGGAAACGTGCGGGAGTGCTCGTGCGTCTACGAAGACGCGGCTCACGTACGCCGTTACCTGGGATCCTCCTCTCCAATGCCCGCTCACTTAGCAACAAGACGGATGAACTGGCGTTGCTGATGAGACGAAACAGAGACTTTTCTTCCTCTTCTGTCTTATGCTTCACGGAGACGTGGATCAACGAGCAGATCCCGGATTGCGCGCTCCATTTGGAGGGATTCCAGCTCCTCCGCGCAGACAGACAGCGGGTCTTATCCGGAGGAAAGAAAAAGGTGGATGTGTCTGCTTCTACATCAACAATGCCTGGTGTTCGGATGTGACTGTGATCTCCCTGTACTGCTCTCCTGCTCTGGAATTCCTCTTCATAAACTGTAAGCCATTCTACTCCCCACGTGAGTTCGCTTCATTCATTCTGGCTGCTGTTTACATCCCGCCAAGCGTGGACATGCACGAGGCTCAACGTGCGCTCGCGGAGCAGATCCTAAGTGTGGAACAGACCTTTCCGGACTCTCTAGTTATTATCCTCGGTGACTTTAACAAGGGAAATCTGAGCCAGGAATTGCCTAAGTACAGACAGTTTGTTAAATGCCCGACAAGAGAGCAGAACATGTTGGACCACTGCTACACCACAGTCAGTGGAGCTTATCGAGCCGTGCAGCGAGCTGCTCTCGGCTTCTCTGACCACGCCATGATTCACCTCATCCCCTCATATAGGCAGATGCTGAAGCTCTCCAAACCTGCAGTGAGAACTTCTAAGAAGTGGACCTGCGAGGCTGTGGAGGAGCTTCGCATGTGTCTGGACACAACAGACTGGAACATGTTTGGATCTGTCACAGACAACTTGGATGAATATACAGTCACTGTGACATCATACATAAAATTCTGTGAGGACAGCATTATTCCAACAAAAACCAGGGTCACTTTTAACAACGATAAGCCCTGGTTCACACCCAAACTGAGACAGCTGAGGAGGGAGAAAGAAGCAGCCCACAGAGCCAAGCACAGAGAAAGCTACAAGGGCGCTAAGTACCAGTTCTCAAAGGAGTTGAAAAAGGCGAGATCCCGGTACAATATGCGTCTAAAGGAGCAGTTCTCTGACAATGACACCACCTCTGTCTGGAGAGGGCTCAGGCAAATCACTAACTACAAGCCTAGAGCCCAACATGCTGCTGACGACCGACAACTGGCTGAACAACTTAACTCCTTTTATGCAAGGTATGAAATGCAACACCCATCCCCCACACCCCCTACTGCACAGGTTTCTTCAGCCACTCTGGTGTCACATGCCTCCCCCACCACCTTCACCACTGTGAATAGTACAGTCCCCGCTGACCACCCCTCCCCCTCCACTGTCTTCTCAGTGACAGAAGAGGGTGTGCTTAAGCCGGGCGTACACTGTGCGACTTTTTCACTCGCAGCGTTCAGCTTCAGCTCAAAATGTACGACTTCCTCGCAGAGCAGATCTCACGAGCCAGGCGCTCACACCCAGTTCTCGCATGCGACCTGACTGCTCACACTGTACGTCTGGTAGCAACACGTCGGCCCTAAAAATATGCTAAAAATAGCAGTTTTTACTCAACACGTCAGACTTTTTTGTCTTGTTTTGCCTGTTGTCCTTCGGGAGTGCTGCAGGACACACAGGGATTTATGGGGGTTGGATGAGGAAAACGAAATAAAGAAAGTAAATCTGTGCTTTGTGATCAGTTTAATTTGACATGAACACGACAAACACGCTTTCTTGACAATCTTTGCGAGTAAAAAAACGTGTAGAAATAAAAACGAACAGCGTGTGTTATTAGGGAAATAGCGAGCGGCGTTGATGCAGGATTGCGCATGCGCCATGAGCGGTTCTGATACTTTTTGGGTCGCAGCTGCTCGCAGCGCCGCTTCAACAGTGCGATACCCTCACTAGTAGGGTTGCCAACTCCCTGAAAAATAAATAAGGGACACCTCGCGGGCAGGGCCAGCCGCTCCAGGCCACCCTTCCCAGCGTGGTGATTTTTTTTGCTCTCTTTTTTTGTGTGTGGGTGTGAAAGGATTTTTTTTTTTTACTATTTGACTTGAAGTTGGTTTAAGAAGATGCATATTCTTTGTGATATGAAAACATGGGAAACAAATGATCATTTAGCCATTTATTTATGGCGTGAAATTACAAAATTATTATAAGTAACAAAGGTATTTTTCTTTAACAGAAAACTGTTATGCTCAACTTTTTGTGCAAAATGATAAAAAAAAAAGTAGGTCTCTTTCTTAAACGGTAGCCTGTTATGCTTTACTTTTTAGAATATAAATAGCTCTCTTTAAAACAACTCTGTTCTGCTTAACTTAAAATTGTGTAAATTAATAGAAAACAACAGAAAGAGCAACGCTGTAACTGCACATTGAGTGCAATTAGAAAAGTGCAAACAGAAAGTCTGTGGAGAAGCTGTAAACATATTTGTGCCTCAAAGGCCTTGACTGTAGCCTACGGTTGAAGTAAAAAAAAAGTCCAAACTCATGAACTCAAAAGCTCAATGCTACATTATGTGAAAACAGACTATTTTGTCCATTTGTATTTCTTTTGAGATCTTGCTGCATTTAGGAGTTGTTTGTCTTTCAGTACTGCAGAGTAAAACTCTGAGCAAGACATGTCACAATTTAGAGTGACAATGAGCTCACATCTAATTATTTCAGTAGATCATTTGTTCCGCACATCAGTCCACTTATTCTTCATGAGAGAGAAAATCCTCTCTGCCAATCCAGTGGAAGATGGGATGCTGAGTACAAATGATACAACAGGCTGGATGTTGGAGAGGTCAGCTGCCTGAAGAATTTCTATACACTTCTCTGCTGTTCCCTTGGACTGCCATTTTTCCTTCTCCTGAGGTCCTTTGGTGAGGTGCTTCAGAAGGCTGGTTGCAGTGACACACTCGTCATAAAGCTCGTCCATAGAGATGTTTAACCTGCCAATGGAGATAAGAAATAAACCTGGGTTATAAGCACCACATAGAACACTTACAGTGGTAAATAAATGGAAAACATTTATTGTATATTTATTGCATTGTATAGCTTTTATACAATACAATAGTTCACTTTATTTATTATGTATTTATCCATCCTTTTAGTTTAAAATTATCCAAACAACATATAAACCAAGACAAGGCTACATCGAAACTAAACACCCAAGTTGAAAAAAAAGAAAAACTAATGACAAAACAGAAACAGACAACAAAAATAATAAAAATAATAGTAAACAAGCCCCAACACAGTGTTTTTTTTCTTCTTCATATAAATACATTCACTTTAACCAGAGGGTTTAAAAAAGCAATGTTTACTTACCATATCTGCTTCTGCCGTGGCCTTGTGGACGACAAACGGATCGAGGGTTCCCCGTGCTTTCACGTCCTTTATGTTTTTCATGTGGCTACTACTAGAAGCATGTTGCTTGAGGTCAGTCAGTCCACCATGCCCTATGGAAAAACCGCGCCGGTACACGGTGCAGTGCGCTTTATAGGTGTTATCGCGCAGTTTTTCCAGCCAGGAATTTTCCTTTTCCCATTCCTCCCTGTATTTTTGAAGCCTTTTTTCTTCTTTCTCAGAGGGGTACTGTCGTCCGAGACTTGTACAGCAGTGTCGGCGTTAGTTTCCCTGTTGGCCGTGCTGTTTGCTGTCGTCTGTTTTCTTCCGGTATCTTCTCCCCAAGCGACTGTTCCTCGACCAATGAAATAAGCGGTAATCTGTATCGTCATATTCGTGTGTAAGCATGCGGTCAGCTCATTGGTCACAGAGCAGGCGAAGGGCTGGCTTTCAAACAAAGCGTTAATTCCGGTAATAGACTACAGACTAATTTTGATCCATACTATATTACGGGACAAAATGCGTCCCTTTTGAGTTCAATACGGGACGTGCACTTTTGTTTCTAAATACGGGACGATTCCGTTTTTCAAGGGACGGTTGGCAACCCTACTCACTAGGGACGAGCAAAATTTTAAACACGCCAGAAGTCCGTGCGACCTCACGACTGCTGATCGGCAGCTGGTCACGTGGTGTTAATCGCCTCTCGTAACCCCCTGTACACTACACGACCGCTCGGCGCAAAACTCGCCCCGATGTCGTGGATTCTCGCACGACTGTAAAATCGGCTCAAAAAGGTGAAAAAGTTGCACAGTGTACGCCCGGCTTTAGGGTTTTCCGTAAGCAAAACCCACGGAAATCCCCGGACCCGGACGGTGTCTCCCCCGCTACCCTGAGACACTGCGCAGAGGTATTGTGTCCAATCTCCACGGACATCTTCAACATCTCCTTGGAGTCCTACCATGTTCCAGCCTGCTTTAACCTGTCCACCATTGTCCCTGTCCCAAAGAAACCCCGTATCACAGGACTGAATGATTACAGGCCTGTGGCGCTGACGTCTGTAGTCATGAAGTCTTTTGAGCGCCTGGTCCTCCCTTATCTCAAGTCCTTCACCTCCCCCCTCCTGGACCCTCTGCAGTTCGCATACAGAGCTAATAGGTCTGTAGACGACGCCATCAACCTGGCCCTCCACTTCATCCTGCAGCACCTGGACTGCCCAGGAACCTACGCTAGGATCCTGTTTATGGACTTCAGCTCTGCGTTCAACACCATCCTCCCTGCTCTGCTCCAGGACAAGCTCTCAATGCTCAACGTACCAAACTCCACCTGCAGGTGGATCACTGACTTCCTGACAGACAGAAGGCAGTGCGTGCGGCTGGGGAAGAATGTTTCCACCACTAAGACAATTAGCACAGGATCTCCACAGGGCTGTGTACTTTCTCCTCTGCTCTTCTCCCTGTACACAAACTGCTGCACCTTGAGCCATGACTCCGTTAAACTGATCAAGTTTGCGGATGACACCGCCCTCATCGGGTTCATCTCTGACGGTGATGAGTCCGCCTACAGGAGGGAGGTGGAACGGCTGGTGTACTGGTGCAGCAGCAACAACCTGGAGCTCAATGCTCAGAAGACAGTGGAGATGATTGTGGACTTCAGGAAAGTCACAGCCCCATCTCTCCCCCTCGTCCTGACGGACACCCCCGTCACCACTGTGGACTCCTTCCGCTTCCTCGGAACCACCATCACACATGACCTTAGGTGGGAGCCATCCATCAGCTCCCTGATCAAAAAGGCCCAGCAGAGGATGTACTTTCTGCGGCAGTTGAAAAAGGCCAAGCTGCCGACCCAGATGATGGTGCAGTTTTACACGGCCATCATTGAGTCCATCCTCACCTCCTCCATCACTGTGTGGTACGCTGGAGCCACGGTGAGGGACAAACATAGACTGCAGCGCATTGTGCGCTCTGCTGAGAAGGTGATTGGCTGCAGCCTTCCATCTCTCCATGACCTGTACGTCTCCAGAACTCGGGGGCGTGCAGGTCGGATAGCAGCTGACCCTTCTCACCCGGGTCACAGACTTTTTGAGCCGCTTCCCTCAGGCAGGAGGTTACGGTCCATCCGGACCAGAACCTCCCGCCATAAGAACAGCTTCTTTCCATCTGCCGTTAGACTTGTGAATAGCTTATAAACACACAACCATGCTGGTCTTCTGTACTCGACACAACGTCACGTTATCGGCCATGTTACCATTACCTGCCATTTTTTATAGCTGAAAGTTTTATTCTAGTTTTTTTAATTATATTTTATTCTATTTTATTCAATTTTTAATCTTATTATTCATGTTATATGTAGCAATTAGTACCGAAGCAAGTTCCTAGTTTGTGAATTGTTTGTTCACTGACAATGGCAATAAACCTATTCTGATTCTGATTCTGATTCTGATTCAAAAACAGCCATTACTGCCACAGCTAGGTGTTGGATCCAAGGAGCAGGTGAACTCAGAAACACTTCAAATCAGGGGAGGACACTGGTTTACTGCAGGAACCATAACGGGGGATCTGACCAGTAATGAATGAACAGGGGACTTCAATACTAAGGTGATCATCGAGCAGCAACAGGTACAGAGTGACTGGGAAGCTGAGGGAAAATCACTCACTCACTCAGCCTTTATTTATAAAGCACCTTATAGTCATGAGCATGCCACCAAGGTGCTGTACAACAAAAGAATAAAACAATAAAACATATAGCGCTACAGACATAATTAAAACCACAAATGAGAATTACAAAATATAAAACATTAACAATTGCTAACCCACAGAATTAAAAGCCAGATCATAAAAGTAGGTTTTCAGCCTCATTTTAAAAACTGCTACTGATGGAGAGTCCCTAATAGTTAGGGGCAGTGCGTTCCACAGTTTCGGACCCACAACAGAGAACGCCCTGTCCCCTCAACTTCAACCTGGCCTTAGGAGCCACAAGCAGCAGCTGGTTCTCAGAGTGGAGTGACCGGGCCGGAATTCTAAAATCAAAATAAACCAAGTGGACCAAACACGAGCAGATGGTGACAGTTATAGAGTTTTTATTGCCCACATCGACAGACGAACGCTGGAAAATTAGAATATGGTGCAAAAGTTCATTCATTTCAGTAAAAGCAAAAGGGGTCCAAACCAAACTGCTGAGTACATATTCATGATTATAGTTTTTCAGCTGTCATAAGCTGTAAGCCATATATCACTTGTAAGTCACTTTTGCCAAAGAGTCTTTTAAATACACAAACATAAACATAATCATCACAATTATAATGAACAAAGACTTGAAATATCTGGATTTGCATGGAATGATTCAGTCTCATATATAAGTTTCACCTTTTACACCAAATTACTAACACAAATTAACTTTTGTACCATATTCTCATTTTTCAATTTTGCCTGCAAATAAAAAGGGAAAATACCCAAAAAAGTAGCAACCGTCAGATCTCTGATAAAGGCCACTGGAAGCAGCCGAAACTGTCAGCTAAATAAGGTAAAAACCTTGCTACGCTGCATGTTGAATAACTACAGAAGGACAGTTCCTGTCATTTGGACATATTTTGCTGTAAATTCACGATATCACATGTTATGTTTATTTTCATTTGTTAGCACAGATTCCTGATTTGCTACAAAAATTGTTTTCCCACTTTCTAATGTTCGTGGAAGACATCTGAACACCAAGGACACCGAATGAAGAGCTTCAGGTGTTATTACAGGTAAGACCTTAGCATTTATACAGTTTGATGTGAAATAGATGTCAAAGAAACTGAAGAATCTTTTCCTAATGCGTTGAGTTCTGTACAACCTTTAAATGTACGGTTCATCTGATGCTTTCACACACAGGTTTGAACTCACTGGGTTGGCGTCCTTCTTGCCCTTGTGTGAGGAGGCAACAACAGCCAGGTACTGAATCACCTTCTTGGTGTTTTCTGTCTTCCCGGCTCCAGACTCACCCCTGAAAGGGAACACAAGTCAATATGTGAAAGAGGCGAGGTAGAAAACCAGCTGTTGGACTCTACAACCACCATGGCTCCCAACAGAAACAGCAAACTCCCTGATGCTCTTGTTTACAGTTCTGTTGTCATATTTGCACTCAACTGTGTCTCATTGTCACATCTCCAATCATGTTATCACTCCATCTAATATTCTAGTATTTTTACACAGTATTTTTATCTTTAAAATGTAAATTCTAAGTAACGTTAAGAAACTCCTGTATGTTCTCGTTCTTTCATTTTGTTCTTCTTTGCTCCGGTTTGGATTGTTGAATTCTATTCTATTCTATTCTATTCTATTCTATTCTATTCTATTCTATTCTATTCGTGTGGTCTATTTCTGTCGTTTGAAACCAAAATTATACTTTGGTTATAATTTTATAACAAATCACTTTTTTCAGCTAGCTTCTTGTGAAATGTGAATAATTTCAGTGTTTTTGTTGTTTGTTCTAATTAGTAAACATTTAGGTGAATTGCTTTACAGTTATGACATGTTTTGTGGACTAAATCTTCATGTAAAGATTCAAGAGAACAGTAACAGTGATTGTAAAAAGCAGTGTGAAATGAAAGCTTGGTGATTTGGACTCACGTGCAGAGAATAGACTGGTCCTCTCGGTCTGTGACGAGACAGAGAAACACGTTAGACTGAGTCAAGCTGAAGAGACCAAACATGACCTCTGACTCAGCCTCGTAAATGCTCAGATTAGTCTCCATCACTTGCTAGGTCTAAATATAGCAGCAAGATGCAGGACTCCACTGTCGTAATCTGGTCTCCATGCTCCATGTATGGTGATTCTAGAGCTGAATGGAAAGTTTGGAGGAGGCCTGAGGTCAGCACGCTCCGAGGCTTCAGGCTGACCACAACTCATCCCCATCTGGAGGCTGCAGACACCCATGTACTTTTAGGAATCTTCTTTGATTGGCTTTTCTCTCTTTACATGGGCTAAAAATAGCCATTTTATGAATGTTTGGGACGGTACATTTCTTGCATGGGAGCTGTGTAAATTATTGTGAAAAACAGCTGGCTCATCTTTTCATCTTAGATTTACTAATCTAAGTTAGGAAAAAGTTATAATTTTTACAAGATCCTTTTCCAAAATGGGAAACATATATTTTCAATTATAGATTTTTTTCTTGAATTTCAGATGTAAACACAGTAGCTTCAATAAAAGCTGAAACATCCACAACGGGTCAGTAGGTGACGATGACATCACCAGTAAAGGTGCAAAAAAAGAACAGGTGAATCTCCCACATCAAATAGTGTTGTTTATTTCATTTATTTGTTTACTATATTTAACATTTCACTAAATAATTAACATCTTCAGCTGCATTTAATGACCTAAATAAGAGATGGGCCAAACTCATAAAAAAAAAATAGATTTGACAATTTCATATTGCGGTTTTAGCACAAACTGTTTTTCCCCTTTTGTTTTAGACAGGTGGCAGTATGCACATCAAAGCTTTCGGTCAGAAGTGGATATGCCTGTGTAAAAATTGTATCGTCACACCTGTTACCTGTCGTACCTGTTGTTAACTGTTGTTACCTGTTACTACCTGTTGTTACCTGCCGTTACCTGTTGTTACCTGTCGTACCCGTTGTTACCTGCCATTACCTGTTGTTAACTGTTGTTACCTGTTGTTAACTGCTGAACCATTTGTTACCTGTTGTTGCTTGTTGTTACCTGTTATTACCTGTTGTTACCTGTCATACCTGTCGTTACCTGTTGTTAACTGCCATACCATTTACCTGTCGTTGCTTGTTGTTACCTGTTGTTAACTGTTGTTACCTGTTGTTACCTGACGTACTGTCGTTACCTGCCATTACCTGTTGTTACCTGTTGTCACCTGTTGTTACCTGTTGTCACCCGTTGTTAACTACCGAACCATTTGTTACCTGTTGTTGCTTGTTGTTACCTGTTATTACCTGTTGTTACCTGCCATACCTGTCGTTACCTGCCGTACCTGTTGTTACCCCCCATACCTGTCGTTACCTGTTGTTAACTGCCATACCATTTACCTGTTGTTGCTTGTTGTTACCTGTTGTTAACTGTTGTTACCTGTTGTTACCTGTCGTACTGTTGTTACCTGCCATTACCTGTTGTTACCTGTTGTCACCTGTTGTTAACTACCGAACCATTTGTTACCTGTTGTTGCTTGTTGTTACCTGTTGTTACCTGTTGTTAACTGTTGTTACCTGTCGTACCTGTTGTTACCTGCCATTACCTTTTGTTAACTGTTGTTACCTGTTGTTAACTGTTGTTACCTATTATTACCTGTTGTTACCTGCCATACCTGTCGTTACCTGCCGTACCTGTTGTTACCCGCCATACCTGTCATTACCTGCCATACCTGTCGTTACCTGCCGTACCTGTTGTTACCCGCCATACCTGTCGTTACCTGCCGTACCTGTTGTTACCTGTTGTTAACTGCCATACCATTTGTTACTTGTCGTTGCTTGTTGTTACCTGTTGTACAAAAGGCCCCATAGTTGAGAGTCCTCCTTTCTATTCTGTTCAGTTGTTCACCTGTAGTTGCTTAGAGTGACCTGTAGATGTCACCCCACCACTTTGGATGGGAGAGGTTTTGGATAGGTGATTACGTGGGTGAGATCTATATGAGTGCGTTTGCTCCCGATTATCAGCAGAGAAGTCATTTCGTGAGAAGTGTGCGTTACTGAACAACGTAAGTCTGTGATGTATGAGGATGTGCGGATAAAATGTGTTTGTGACTAGTTGAAGTTAGAGGGAAGTGAAGATGTTTCTGTTTGTGTCGCTAGCGAGTGCTAAGCTAAGCTAAGCTAAGCTAAGTTAGGCTAGCTCTCCTGCCGTGTGATTGGGATAATTGTGTGCTGAGTTAGCTCAGTGGGTTTATATATGGGATGTGGGTAATATCTGGTTTATGGTAGCAAAGGGGATGTTAGTTTCTTTCCTACCTGTGTTTCTGTTGATGTACTCTGAGTTACTATTATGAACATTTTAGTGATGTACTATTTTCTTTCTGTTCATTACAGAGACCACACACACACACACACACACCCACACAGACACACACCTGTACCTAAACTTGTATGTAACACCTGCTCCTCCGACAATCCTGTTACCTTTGACTGTGTGGAGGCAATACAAGAGTTTAAACCATCCTGGGCGTCTTCTGTGTCTTCTTCCTGAATCGCCATCCGGGCCTAGAGTAGTGTTCTGGCCGACACTCCGGGGAGTGGCAGCTGCAAACCTGAATCAACACCTTACAGTCCTCCCCTTCCGGGTTATCTACCCAACACTAGTGGTCCTTCGAGCCGGATGTAAGCTGCTTCTACCCTAACAAGATGGATGACATTCAGAACTTCTCAGCTCTTGGTGCGCGCCCACGGCGTAATGTACGTCGTCCCCTACGTTATGAAGCTTATGAGACTGACTTCCCCTGGCTTGGTGCAGGTTACCGGGAGGAAAATGAGATGGGAGGTGACACCCGTTCTTCCCACCATCCGCCGTCTGACCCCTCTGAAAACCGCTCATACAGCCAAATCACACCAATGAGAGCAGAGTTGGAGGATGTACAACGTGAAAGGTTCCTGTTACAGCAATCACATGACCAGATGAGAGCTGGGCTGGCTGATTTCCAGGCACTTCATGCTAGTTTGCTGCAGCTGTTGGACCGTGCGGAGAGTCTGCAGCTCAATCCACCGACCAGAGGCCCTGCTGTTCATCTCCAGCCACCTCCTACTGAGGAGGAAGAGGACTGGCCCCTACCACCTCCTCCGGTTGCGTTCACGGAGGAACCTGTCCACAGTCAAAGCCCAGTCACAGACCGCATCGACACGATGATGAAAGAGCTTCAAGCTCTAAAGAGGGAGTCTATGACTGCACAGGAGGGCCGGATCATTCCCCCACCTGAATCTAAGCCGAGGTTCACGTCTCCTCAGCTAAGGCCCACCTACCCTCCAGCGCCGCCTCCAAGTGGACACCTCCCTCCATTGCAACCACTGCCAGCTCCGACTCCGTCCCCATCCACTCCTTTCTCCGCCTCCCAGATGCATAGACCCTTTGGCTTGGCTGCGGCCCCGGATATGAACTACAGGGGGCCTCGTCCAAGCATTCCCAAGCTCACACGTCGTGATCCAGGAGAATTTGCCCGACTGAAGATGGCGCTAGAGAACTTACTGCCCTCGGAGAGTTCAGAGCTCTTCAAGTACCACGTCTTGTTAGATCACCTCCACTTAGAGGAAGCGAAGTTGATAGCGGACGCTTATCTCCATTCTGCCACGCCCTTCAGTGACACCATGCATGCTCTTAATGACCGACTTGGACAGCCCCATCAGCTCGCCCTGCGGAGTATTGCTGCTGTCATGGACTCACCTGACATCCGCCCAGGGGATGCAGTCGCCTTCGAGCGATTCTCTCTCCACATCCAGTCGCTCGTGGGCATGCTGAAGACTTTGGGCACAGATGGGGAGGTCGAACTCCAGTGTGGCTCCCATGTGGCTCGACTCCTGGATAAACTCCCTCCAGAACAAAGAGCTGATTTCCGTCGGTGCATGTACAGCCATTCTGGTCAGGCATACACTCTGGACGACCTGTCTACCTGGTTAAAGTACGAATCCTGGTGTCAGGGCTATGATGGTTCACCCACTCCAATGATCACCAAGGAGAAACGTGATGTCAGACCAAGTAGGCGCCCTGTTGCGGTTCTTCACGGTGCAGAGACCTCACCCAGGTCAGTAGGTACCACTCCAAACAAAGCTAGGCAGCAGCCCTACTGCGCCTTCTGTGATAACCGTGCTCACCACCTGAGTCAGTGTCCAGAGATCGTTAAGCTGAGTCGAGAACAGCTCACACACTGGATAAAGACCAACAAGAGGTGCTGGCGTTGCGCTCGCTCCCATCAGGCAGCCCAGTGCACCCTCAAGAAACCCTGCAGCCTGTGTCAGGGTCATCATTTGCAGGTCCTTCACAACGTTAATTCCAAGCCATTACAGACCTTAGGCCCAGCGTCTGCTCCACCACGAGAAAGTGGGAATCCTACAGGCGTCCTGTACCTCGACCGTCCTACAGAGAACAGCCAAGTTCTGTTAAAGGTTGTCCCAGTCATTCTTCACCATAATGGCAAGACCTTGAGCACTCACGCAGTTTTGGATGATGGGTCAGAGAGGACTATGCTGCTGCCCACCGCTGTCCAGATTCTTGACCTTCAAGGCATTCGAGAGACCCTTCCATTGTGCACTATCAGACAAGATGTGCAAACTCTGCATGGCTCGTGTGTCTCATTCGAGATCTCCGCGGGTGGCAAACCTAAGCTGAGGTACAAGGTCCGCAACGCCTTCACCGCTACCCGTATCGACCTAGCCGAGCGCAGCTATCCTGTGGAGTCCTTGCAGCGGAAGTACAGGCACCTCAGAGGCCTGCCTCTCCAGGCCTTTAAGAAGGTCAAACCCCTCCTTCCCATTGGCAGTGACCACCCACAGCTCATTACTCCAACTGAAGCTGTTCGTCTCGGTCCACCGGGTGGTCCCGCTGCTATGCGCACCAGGTTAGGGTGGACACTACAGGGCCCCTCCAGCCTTATCGGTTCCTCTTCACTGCCACAACAGTGCCTATTCACGACCGCCATCCCTCCTCAGATG